AATGACAGCATCAAAGGCCTGAGCTACAAATTTTCTCAAAAAGCTTGAATGCATGGTTACATCATTAATCCCACATACAAAACAGTCTCTCAGCATCTCATTAATTGTTAAGCCAAAATGTTTAACTGCCTCTCCTAGTCATCTTAACCTCGTCAAAAATTCTAACATAGATTCTCCTGGTTCTCAAACTGCCAAGTAAAACCTATTGTGTCTCAGAATTAGAGGAGGCTTGGGGTCGTAATATTCCTTAACTAAATCTGTCAACTCTTGAAAGGTTTTAGTATAGAACAAAGAACAAAGAAAATTACAGCACAGGAACAGGCCCTTCGGCCCTCCAAGCGTGCGCCGATCCAGATCCTCTATCTAAACCTGTCGCCTATTTTCCAAGGATCTGTATCCCTCTGCTCCCTGCCCATTCATGTATCTGTCTAGATACATCTTAAATGACGCTATCGTGCCCGCCTCTACCACGTCCGCTGGCAACGTGTTCCAGGCACCCACCATCCTCTGCGTAAAGAACTTCCACGCATATCTCCGTTAAACTTTTCCCCTCTCACCTTGAAATCGTGACCCCTAGTAATTGACTTTCCCACTCTGGGAAAAAGCTTCTTGCTATCCACCCTGTCTCTACCTCTCATGATTTTCTAGACCTCAATCAGGTTCCCCCATCAACCTCTGTCTTTCTAATGTAAATAATCCTAATCTACTCAACCTCTCTTCATAGCTAGCGCCCTCCATACCAGGCAACATCCTGGTGAATCTCCTCTGCACTGTCTCCAAAGCATCCACATCCTTTTGGTAATGTGGCGACCAGAACTGTATGCAGTATTCCAAATGTGGTCGAACCAAAGTCCGATACAACTGGAACATGACCTGCCAACTCTTGTACTCAATACCTCGTCCGATGAATGAAAGCATGCTGTGTGCCTTCTTGACCACTCTATCGATCTGCATTGCCACCTTCAGGGTACAATGGACCTGAACACCCAGATCTCTCTGTGCATCAATTTTCCCCAGGGCTTTTCCATTTACCGTATAGTTTGCTCTTGAATTGGATCTTCCAAAATGCATCACCTCGCATTTGCCTGGATTGAACTCCATCTGCCATTTCTCCGCCCAACTCTCCAATCTATCTATATTCTGCTGCATTCTCCGACAGTCCCCTTCACTATCTGCTACTCCACCAATCTTAGTGTCATCTGCAAACTTGCTAATCAGACCATCTATACCTTCCTCCAGATCATTTATGTATATCACAAACAACAGTGATCCCAACACAGATCCCTGTGGAACACCACTGGTCACAGTTCTCCATTTTGAGAAACTCCCGTCTACTACAACTCTCTGTCTCCTGTTGCCCAGCCAGTTCTCTATCCATCTAGCTAGTACACCCTGGACCCCATGCGACTTCACTTTCTCCATCAGCCTACCATGGGGAACCTTATCAAACGCCTTACTGAAGTCCATGTATATGACATCTATAGCCCTTCCCTCATCTATCAACTTTGTCACTTCCTTAAAGAATTCTATCAAGTTGGTAAGACATGACCTTCTCTGCACAAAACCATGCTGCCTATCACTAATAAGCCCATTTCCTTCCAAATGTAAATAGATCCTGCAGCAGAACTCTGCTGCCTCAGGAAACATTACGCTCCTAATAACCAAAAAAGCTGCAGGTCCACAAGCTGTCAGGAGAATTACTTATTACATTTCATATGCTCCAATGTCATTTTCCCAGAAAAACTCACCCATTCTTTCCACATACTAGGCCCAGTTTTCAACAGCAGATTCGAACGAGTCAAGCTTCCCAAATAGCAGCATGATGCCAGAAATGCTCACCCCGACTCAAATATGATTGTTGCAAATGAATTCTTTCAGGGGCATATATTTTTCTCTCATCGCCACTGAAATAGCTGCACAGAGGCCGGTATCCCATCACCAAGTCACCCTTTATTAACTCGTCCATAGTACTTGACATTGGTCTGGCTTCCTCAGAGCCAGCTCTGAGTGAACAGAACTTCTGTCGTTTCTGTTTACATCTGTCAGTCAGGGCTCCCTAATTGCACCAGGTTAACAGCCTGAATCAAGGAACTCATATTCCATGGGTCCACCCAGCTGACCTCATTACAACAACTACACCAGTCACTCAGGGACAGATGACTCACTCACTCAGGGACCAGTCATTTAGGGACTAGATACACAGGGACCAGTCACACAGAGACAGGTCACTCAGAGAACGGTCCCTTTCTCACTCAGGGACCTAACATCCGGGAGCCAGTCATTCTTTCCTTGTGGGAGCAGACACACAGGGGATGACTCACTCTCTCACTGAAGGATTAGAAACTACTGAACTAGTCACATTCCTACTGAGGGCTTAGTCATTTTTCCACTCTGGGATCAGTCGAACAAGACGTCTGATCTATTACAGTTATGAAATTATATTGCAATGGTTATGAAAAGAAAGTTGTCCTTGTTGCAGGATTAATAATTAATAAGGGTCTAATTGAGAATTGTCACTCGGGATAATGATTGGAGGCAAGCAATCATGAATAATCAACACAAAAGTAACTTGTTGGAAATGCTGAAGAGAGAGATGGCGATGGTTTCTGATGCACTTTCACAGGAAGAATTCATGTTTCCCTCCTATTAACCCTTGACATGGTAGCTTACCAATCCTGTTGCTTCAGCAAAATTAAATGATCTTGAATAGCAATATGCAGCTTTTCCATTGTCCTGATTGGTTCAGGGATTGATTCAGTTGGCAGAGTCTGGTACACAATATGCAGTGAGATTTGGGCGAGTAGTGCACCTGCAGTTACTGGTGGTTGAAGGCAGCAGCAATGGACAAGTGAGGGTTGATGTGTAGAAATAAAACAACCAAAGGTAAGGGGAGATAAATGAGTTTTCACCTCAGTTATATTGCAGGCCTCTAAAGGAATAAAGTAATTTATTGAAATAACAGTCAAAAATAGACTTAACAGCACATTTTAGAACACCTTAAAACACTGTAATTTACCAAAGCAGTTACAACTGTTAAATAAATCTTCCGTAAACTGGAGTCTTTTCTCATTGGTTAATATCATCAGTCCAGGCCAAACTCAATGTCTTCAGTGTGAACGTGATCAATCTCCAAAACTGCTAATTCTTCTTCAATTTTTTCTCCTTCTGGACCGTGATGAGTGAAATTTCCTTAGAAAATATTAACATTGTAAAATTGAGTATCACATTTGATCAGGAAAGGAAACACCTCGCCAATGATTGTTTCACAGCTCAGCAGTAAAGTTAAATAATAATTCTCAGCATTTTGCTGTACAACCTGTGCTCGACACCATAGCATTAATGCACATAGGCCTCCCCAATGCTCAATTGTATAAGAGTAAAATCGTGTTTTGGAATTGAGAAAACGGAACTGATTTTAAAGATTGCCAAATGGCCAGCATTCCAGGGGAGAACAAAGAAATTGCTACAAAGATACTCTGATGCTCTCCCTTAAGAATGGCAATAATGTCAATGATTGGAAGGAGCTTACTACTGCCTAATGGTAATCCTGCCCCTTTTATGCAAAGGTCTATGGGTTGAGAATCAACATATTCAGTCACATGAAGATGCACATGAAAAACCACAATCCATCATCCTTAATTTGAGGGATAGCTGACAATAATTGATACGAAATTCCAACTATGGAGTATCAGCACCAGCTCCCTCAGAATCAACATGATGGTAATGGCGATAGATCAGCAGAGACTAATCTCGGCTCTGAATCAAAGCTTAAGAGTTCCTAACCCAATTGAGAGTACTGAGAGAATGCTGCATTCTTTGGTATCTTTTGGATGAAATGTTTAACCACAGTTAGGCCAGAGTTGCTTTCTTAAATAGCCATAAAAGATTGTAAGGCACTACTTTGAAGAAGCACAGCTGAGGTTGGTGCCTTTGATAATTAAAATCTATCACACACTTACTTGTGGGATCTTCCTATCTGCAAATTGGCCAGCATGCAAAACCATGAGATATAGAGGGATCTAGGTTTTCTGGGATGCAAATCAAAAAATAGTATAGTGTTACAACAAATGATTAGGAAGGTAAATTGAATTTTGTCATTTAATGCAAGGGGAATGGAACATGAAAGTATCAGAGAGTTATGGGGCTGTTCAGGGCCTTGGTCAAACCATACCTGGAGTACTGTGTGGAGTTTTGGTCTTTTTAATTGAAGAAAGGACATAATTACATTAGAAGCAGTTCAGGGAAGGTTTGCTTGACTGATTCTTGGGAAGGTGAGTTATATTATGCGGAAAAGTTGGACAGATTAGGCCTGTATCATCATATCAAATGACATAGTTATCAACACATTGCTATTCATAGAACATAGAACAGTACAGCACAGTACAGGTCCTTCGGCCTACGCTGTTGTGCCGACCTATCATCCTACGAAGATCAAACTATACTGCATACCCTACATTATACTATCATCCATGTGCCTATCAAAGAGTTGCTTAAATGTCTGTAATGTATCTGACTCCACTACCACTGCCGGCAGCGCATTCCACGTACGCACCACTCTCTGTATAAAGAGCCTACCTCTGACATCTCCCCTATACCTTCCTCCAATCACCTTAAAATTATGCCCCCTCGTAATAGTTATTTCTGCCCTGGGAAAAAGTCTCTGGCTATCCACTCTATGTCTCTCATCATCGTGTACACCTCTATCAAGTCACCTCTCATCCTTCTTCGCTCCAATGAGAAAAGCCCTTGCTCCCTCAACCTTTCCTCATAAGACCTGCCCACCAGTGCAGGCAGCATCCTGGTAAATCTCCAGTGCACCCTCTCTAAAGCTTCCACATCCTTCCTATAATGAGGCAACCAGAACTAAACACAATATTCCAAGTGTGGTCTTACCAGTGTTTTATAGAGCTTCAGCATAACCTCACGGCTCTTAAAACTCAATTCCCCTGCCAATGAAAGCCAACATCCCTACGCCTTCTAAACAACCCTATCAAGTTAGGAAGCAACTTTGAGGGATCAATGGATGTGGACCCCAAGTTCCTCCACACTACCAAGAATCCTGCCATTAATCCCGTATTCTGCATTCAATTTCGACCTTCCAAAATGAATCACTTCACACTTTTCCGGGTTGAATTCCATCTGCCACTTCTTTGCCCAGCTCTGCATCCTGTCATTGTCCCGTTGCAACCTACAACAGCCCTCCACACAGTCCACAACTCCACCAATCTTTGTGTCATCAGCAAACTTACTAACCCACCCTTCCACTTCCTTATAAAGATCACAAGGAGCAGAGGTCCCAGAACAGATCCCTGCGGAACACCATTGGTCACTGAGCTCCAAGCTGAATACTTTCCATCTATTACCACCTCTGTCTTCTACTGGACAGCCAATTCCGTATCAAGGCAGCCAAGTTTCCCTGAATCCCATGCCTCCTTACTTTCTGAATGAGCCTACCATTGGGAACCTTGTCAAATGCCTTGCTAAAATCCATATACACCACATCCACTGCTCTGCCTTCATCAATGTGTTTTGTCACAACCTCAAAGAATTCAGGAAGGCTTGTGAGCCATGACCTGCCCCTCACAAAGCCATGCTGACTATTTCTAATCAAACTCTGCTTTTCCAAATAATCACAAATATTATCCCTCAGAATCCTCGCCAATAATTTGCCCACCACAGAAGTAAGACTGACTGGTCTGTAATTTCCAGGATTATCCCTATTCCCTTTCTTGAACAATGGAATAACATTTGCCACTCTCCAATCATCTGGTACTACTCCAGTGGACAGTGAGGATGCAAAGATCATTGCCAAAGGCACAGCAATCTCTTCCCTTGCTTCCTGTAGAAACTTTGGGTATATCCCGTCCGGCCCAGGGGACTTATCTATCCTCATGTTTTTAAAAATTTCTAGCACATCCTCCTTCCTAACATCAACCTCTTCGAGCATATCAGGTTGTTTCACGCTGTCCTCACAAACATCAAGGTCCCTCTCACTGGTGAATACTGAAGCAAAGTATTCATGAAGGACCTTCCCTACCTCCTCCAACTCCATGCACAAGTTCCCTCCACTATCCCTGATTGGCCCTACCCTCACTCTGGCCATCCTCTTGTTCCTCACATAAGTATAGAACGCTTTGGCATTTTCCTTAATCCTACCCGCCAAGGCTTTCTCATGGCCTCTTCTCGCTCTCCTAAGTCCTTTATTCAGTTCCTTCCTAGCTCCTTTGTAACCTTCTAGAGCCCTGTCTGATCCTTGCCTCCTCAACCTTAAGTAAGCTTCCTTCGTCCTCTTGACTAGATGTTCCACATGTCTTGTCATCCAAGGCTCCTTCACGTTACTATCGCTTCCTTGCCTCAGTGAGACAAACCTATGTAGCACTTGTAGCAAATGCTCCCTAAACAACCTCCACATTTCTGTTGCACATTTCCCTAAGAACATCTGTTCCCAATTTATGCTCCGCAGTTCTTGCCTAATAGCATGATAATTACCCCTCTCCCAATTAAATACTTTCCCATACCGTCTGCTCCTATTGCTTTCCATGACAATAGTAAAGGTCAGGGAGTTGTGATCACTATCACCAAAATGCTCTCCCACCAAGAGATCTGACATCTGGTCTGGTTTGTTGCCTAGCACTAAATCCAATATGGCCTCCCCTCTAGTCAGCCCATCTACATATTGAGTCAGAAATCCTTCCTGGACACACCTGACAAAATCTGCTCCATCCAAAGTATTTGCACTTAGGAGGTTCCAGTCGATATTAGGGAAGTTGACGTCACCCATGACAACAACCCTATTTGTGGGATCTTGCTGTGCACAAACTGACATCTGCATTTCCGACATTACAATGCAACACATATCCTGTATTCCTATCTCCCTTCCATTTCCTGATTTATTGCTGCTACTTTGTTACTTTGTATAATCTTTAGTGAAGAATTCAAAGTACTTTGGTCATCACAAAAAGACACCCATACACTTCTGTAGTGCCATTCCCTGTGTAGAATAATAGTTTCCATCTATATGTGGTCCTGCATCAAAATTATAAATGAATAATTTAAAGTAAACAGTGGATCATCATTAGTCCGTTGTAATTGTCTTGCTGCTGGTTCAAGCTGTTTTTCAATCTCACAGCCAATCAATGGAATGAATAACAGTGTCTGTCAAGATCTCCCTTCCACTGCTGTATCCCTGGACCCAAGCCCAGCATCTTTTTCTACCACATAGCAAGTTCTTATGTAATAAGTAAAATACTCAGGGGACATCATACAGCGTGGGTTTAAACAGTCCACACCAGGGATCAGCAACATTTTCATACCTGTAAAGCATATTAAAAAATTTGCTTTAAAGAAAAAATGTAATGTCATGTTGCCATAGTCCCATTCTCTCATTAGAGAGACATGACTGGTGATGGTTTAACCTGAGGGTCACCACACCTCAATACGAGAGGTTGAGATTGAGTGTCATGGTAAACTCAGTTGATGCATCACATACCAGCCATCCAACCAATTGAGCTAACCAAGCCCCATATCTACATATACACTGGCAAAGGTAGCTTAAATGTTTTCTGACTAATTTCTTCAGACAGTATTTTAAGGAACCGACCTGAGAGAAGGTTATACTAGATCTGGTCCAGTGCAGTAGGATAAGATTAATTAATGATCTCAGAGTTAAGTCACCCTGAGGTAGCAGTGACTGTAATATGATTAAATTTTACATTCAGTTTGAGGGAGAGAAGAGGTTGCAAGAATATTTTTGAAGATTTAAATAAGGGCTATTATGAAGGTGTGAAAACAGAACTGGCTAGAGTGAGTTGGCAAATTATGTTAAAGGCTAAGTCAATGAAGATACAGTGGCAAACATTTAAAGGGGATATTTCAGCATATAGACAATAGATACATCCCAAACAAGTAAGAACATTTCCAGAGGACAGTCCAACCATCCATGGCTAACTAGAAATGTTAAGGGTCATATCAAACTAAAAGAAAAAGCATACATAGTGCAAAGACAGGAGACTTGTCAGAAGATTGCATAATATAGAAACAGTAAATGACTAAAAATGAAAAAGGAGGAAAATATTAGAGTACTAAAAAAGCTAGCCAGAAATATAAGAAAAGTAAAAGTTTCTGTGAGTATTTAAAGAAGAGAGTTAACAAGGTAAATGTTAGTCCTATAGAAGGTAAGACTGCAGAAT